TAATAATTGTAACAATTTTACCTTAGAAAAATATACGCCCCTGAGCGTAAGACAATGAAGGCTAAACATATACAGAATTATTATCATGAAACATCTATAATCATCACAACCATAAGATTACATAGAACAATTAACAACAAAGTACTTAGAGAATAATTACCTGCTAACTAGTACCGGTTAAACAATTTTAATTTTTCACTATTTTTGACACACTGCCCGCTGATCGTCTTGCTACCTATCTGCACACTGTTCTAACTTCAACTACCTATCTTCAACTATTTAGGCTTCCTTCCAGAAATCCCCCCCCAAGCGTTTGTTTTTGCGCTTCCTTCTACCAACTGTCAATATTACGTCAACGTTCGATCTCGCTTCATGTTAGCTCCGCCAATTCTCAGGCACTACTCTTCGACATGAATCTAGCTATTATTTTTAATTTATGTAAGCCTCTCTTATCTCGGTTCAGATTTAGTGGTATTCCTGGCGTTTCCGCGGAAAAAACCGGGGTGAAATTTTGGTCATCTCGAGAGGGGCATCGGTGGACGCTCTGTGAACATCAGTATTAGTTTCAGTTTCTCTGGAACGCTGTGAATTCGAAACGTGGGTGATAAAATCAATTCGAAACATAGCTGAAAATTGGATCCGCTCGCGATTTCTGCTCCACAGGATGGTCGGTGTCAAACATCGACAGTTACTTACACACAGAGAGCAAATGTCTCCATCTATCGCGTTACTTCCCAACTACACCATTCTAATGGCTACTACTAGTAGGAAGCGACCTGCTAAAATTTACCAAGTACTTATTTGCACGACCGTCGCCAACTAAGCGAAAACAAAATGTTTTTTTTAATTGCCAGTGTTGCGAGAAACAACAACAACCCCGAGGGCTATATGCCCGACCGGCATTGAATTATACTACCACAGTAGGATCACCTAGTACCACAGCTAGGATCGTTCGTCAGTTTAACCCACCAGACATAGACCTATTTCGGACTTATTGGTCCTCATCATTGATGAGATGTTGCGAGTATAATTCAACGCTGGTCGGGGCATATAGCCCGCAGAGTAGTTGTTTATCGCAACACTCGCAATTTAAAAAAATTAAAAGTATCCTAAATTTTTATTTCTACACCTATTTTGCAAGTACACATAATTTTTCTTGCAGTGATTTGACAACGATCCAGAACTGCATTGTGAAGGATTTAGAGGACCATTGTTCTAGCACTACGCCCGCCAATGTAATCGACGCCTTGTTCCGCTTTGTGAAGAAAACCGCCTGCAAAGAGGCCAAAACGAAAAGAAGTATCAGTACGTTGCACAAAATGATTTTATTCGACAATTAAATGCTTTTCTCATCAGTCACTATTCGATTATTAGATATATCAATAAACATTTAAATAACTAAACTGCATAGCCTTATTTCTGCATGGTATAAACACTCGTATCCACCTTTATGGGTTCTATGTGATGCCTTTACATGCAATTTGCGGTATGAATAACATCATCTACTAAAAATAAACATAATTATCGACGTTCTGTTGTTTATTCAATAATTATTCATATAATATTTTTAACAGGAATCTGTATTTACTAACATTATTATCAGATAATGATCAAAGTACTAAGAATAGCATTAATTATTATTTATAATTTCAGTTTTAATATTTTTCTTTCAAAAGTTTACAAAGTAATTTCATTAGGTAACATATTTTTTCAATATATTTATAACAAACGTATGAATTATATCTGTAGTATACGGGGTGAATTGTATATGTGTACATATATGGATTTTAGTCAGTGGTACAGTTTGTTGTGTAGAACATGGGATTTAATATAATTTTTATAGTAAACTGTTGAAAAATATTGATATCAAACATTTGCGCATAACACAAAATTGTTTATACTGTACGTGTATTGCTACCGACATTAGACCGAACTCTTAACTTAAAATATCAGTTTTCTGTGTCTTGTTATTCACATTTAACTTATAAACTCAATGTTTAATTGTTCATATTATTTTTGAGCGTTGCGGTTTGCAGTAAATAAATCAGTTATTTATACAAAATCAAAATATATATTTCCCACTTCAAATTTAGTTTGCAGTATTTATATAGCTAGGTACTGCAATTTATTTTTTTAATTTATTTTTGAGGTCCTAAAGTTCTTTACTATAAAAATCAATTAAATGTTGAGTTTTGTTGTGCACATGCGGTTGGAAAGGTTCCGACACCTTTAGCTTGAGTTACTTTTTAAATATTGAAAGTCTAAATTAATTTTTCAATTGTTTTTCGTTTTAACGCAAAACCTGAAATATTGTAATATATTTTAAGGCTTAAAAAGAGCAGTGCGGAATGTGATGACAATAACCCAGGACCAATTTAGAGAAAGTTTGGAGCATAAGATGAAGNCATAATTATCGACGTTCTGTTGTTTATTCAATAATTATTCATATAATATTTTTAACAGGAATCTGTATTTACTAACATTATTATCAGATAATGATCAAAGTACTAAGAATAGCATTAATTATTATTTATAATTTCAGTTTTAATATTTTTCTTTCAAATGTTTACAAAGTAATCCCATTAGGTAACATATTTTTTCAATATATTTATAACAAACGTATGAATTATATCTGTAGTATACGGGGTGAATTGTAAATGTGTACATATATGGATTTTAGTCAGTGGTACAGTTTGTTGTGTAGAACATGGGATTTAATATAATTTTTATAGTAAACTGTTGAAAAATATTGATATCACACATTTGCGCATAACACAAAATTGTTTATACTGTACGTGTATTGCTACCGACATTAGACCGAACTCTTAACTTAAAATATCAGTTTTCTGTGTCTTGTTATTCACATTTAACTTATAAACTCAATGTTTAATTGTTCATATTATTTTTGAGCGTTGCGGTTTGCAGTAAATAAATCAGTTATTTATACAAAATCAAAATATATATTTCCCACTTCAAATTTAGTTTGCAGTATTTATATAGCTAGGTACTGCAATTTATTTTTTAAATTTATTTTTGATGTCCTAAAGTTGGAGGTACATCTTTACTATGAAAATCAATTAAATGTTGAGTTTTGTTGTGCACATGCGGTTGGAAAGGTTCCGACACCTTTAGCTTGAGTTACTTTTTAAATATTGAAACTTTAAATTAATTTTTCAATTGTTTTTCATTTTAACGCAAAACCTGAAATATTGTAATATATTTTAAGGCTTAAAAAGAGCAGTACGGAATGTGATGACAATAACCCAGGACCAATTTAGAGAAAGTTTGGAGCATAAGATGAAGACAACCTGTCAAAAAAACGGGGGAGATGGAGCCTTTGAAAATTTAGAGGTAGGTATGAAAATGCATCTTGTTGGATTTTAACTGATTCTGATAGTCTTAAAAAAATAAATACCAACATTTTTATTCAGAGCATCCATTATCAAATTATTTTTGTTATTCACAGTTCATACTAATTTTGTATGATTTTTGTTATTTTCTTTGTAGACATCGTTCAACAATAGCAGAGCTTGTTTTATGAAACACAGAATATTCGGAACTCCCTCAAATATTTATCAAAGTAACCTATCAAATTGCACAAATGATTATCGAAACGCTCTGAAAAACTGCTTGGCAGAAGGAGAAAAGTACTTTGCTGACTTTATTCTTGAATTAATACAGTCCTTGTACGGATTTATCTACAAAAATTATGGTAAAATAATGGGTAAGTTGAGCAAATTATTTAGAAACTAGTTTCGATTTGTCTAAATTTAAATCGATTAGTTTATCCGTCGCATATCCTATTTTGAATCTTTAAATAACCCTTTCTTTAGCATGGTTATGCAACCAGAAATACGGCAAGTATAGCTTGTATGGCTTTGTTGGTTGCCTAACTTTGAAATTAAATTAATTCTTTAGGAATTCCTAATTAGATTTGTATTCTTATGCATTTCTATACATTAACGATAATAATAAATTATTGTTGCAGCCGGTGGACAACCAAGTGCAGAACTTACCAGTTGTATGAGAACTTTAAGTAATGATGAAGTACAAAAGAAGCTCTACAGCTGTTCAAATACAACCTTAAACGAGCTCACTATTACAAATAATATAATTACTTTACCACCAAAATCTCAAATTTGCGAGTAAGTTTGTTATAAATGACAAAGTAGCCATCAAAAGTGATTCCTTATTGATGTGCTACTGCTGTGGACTAAGTAAACAGCATTTTACGATTAATGTTTTTCAGGTCATTAACAGAAGTGTCTACATGCATATCCAAGACTATTAAAAATACGTGCATAAGGGACATAACGATATCTCAACTTGCAGACGACTTTGTTGAGACTATGACAGCTCCATGTCAAAACAAAAGAAGATAATTAGAAAAAAATTAAAAACCAAACCATTTTTAAACTAGGTCTTTTTTTACTCGTATTTTAAATTAAATTTGTTGGGTTTACGGTTTTACAAACATCGAATTGCAAAAAAAATAGTATTAAATAACAAATATCAGAACCTGATTTAGCTATAGGCTGGTGTAGGCTGCAGCCTACAGACCCTACCAACTAGGGGCCCCCACCATGTTAACAAAAATTTTTTATATGAAAACAATTTTTTTTTAAGACCTTCCCATCATGAACAAGACACTACAGATATTATCGAAGAATTTGCTACAATAAAAGCTAGAAAAGTTGTTATTTAATCGTATTTAATAATTCATATTTAGATTAATAATAGTATGAAATTGGGTAGTGATAAATTTTTCTTAGAATATGCTGCTGCACTTCAATTCTTGTGTACGCCGCCACTGTAATATTCATGCATTACAAATACATGAATTGTAGGCAACCTACAGTGCATGTAAAGGGAGATACTGCGGGTCCACGGTGACAAAGCGAAGGGGGTCAGCTGTTATTCCGCGTTTGAACAGTTACATCTAACTGTAAAATTTCCTTTTGGAAATCAATCCTGCCTGTTTGTGAAAGGAAATCTGCAATAATTTCAAATACGTAAAATCCAGCATACCCTTTTTCACCATAAAGTAATTACCCTTTCTAATTTCTCAGAATGATAGAGTAAATTAGAGTTATTCGGAAAAGTATTTCTTTATAACATTTTGTCTCATTTGTTACATACGAAAATGGCACATTATTGGTGAATAGGTGAATAAAATCAAATGTTTCTGAATTTCCGAGGCTTTACGGATTTGATATAGTGGATTTTGTTTCACAAACAAGCCAAGCTGAATCTTTGGAGGCTAGTTTCCAATACCAGCATTTCTCATTATCATACAAGTCGTTTCATCTGTGTGGGGACATGCTCTAAGTGTTCAAAAACATTTTATTTTCGAGATTAATGAAAATATACAGTGTCCATCGAGATGCAAAAAAAAAACAGTTAAAGGATGCTAATGTAAATAATAGTTTCTTTCATACATAACGTAACTGCTTGAACAAACATTAATTTTATTTAAAAATAATTATTTAAAATACTTTATTTAAAAATAATTCGATGTTTAGTCCCACTTGGCATAAAGCTTGAATTTTTTATTACTTACAAATCTTTTTACAGCTATGGGAGATAAAAATCTTCCAACATATACTGCTCATGATAAAAAAGTTTTAATTAGTTTTGTTCTTCAAACCCTTTTGAACAATTTACACTGGAAATATTTTTGTCCACTGACTTGTGAGTGAGGCGGGGCGAAAGGGAGGGTGAAAGAGGGAAGGGGAGAGAGCGAGAGAAAGAAAAACCAGTTTATAACCAGTCAAATATATTATTTGAAAACGTTCATAGAAAAAAAAATTCTGAATTTTTTTTTCTTGGTAGGTTGACATATTTTCATTAATTTTAAACACCCTGTATCTTGATAGGTGTACATTTTTCCTGTTAAATTGTGTTATAGAATCGGCCATTAAAGTATGGCCAAGTGTTTTAATTACATGCTGTACATGTATGAAATAAACTTATTTTTCTAATCGCAGTGTATTTTCTTTTAATTTTTGTATATTTCTACCCCAAGAATAAAATTTTGGAAATTAATAAAAGACAAGAATAGGAAAAGAAACCGAAAATAAAAAAAAAAACATTCATTGTTAAAATCTATATTGTAAAAAAAATTGTAATATTTAACAAAAAATTAATAAAAGTTTTTGATCACGTAATTTTAATCGCTATTTCCTGCAATATCTTGTTCACATACAGTTTTTGACTGTTTTTGCTCAGCAAAATCCTGAGGTTTTTCCTGGTTAGATAGCTGATTTGCTTCAATTTGTTTTACATTTTTAACTGGTTTAGCTACATTGTTCTTATTAGGTGATGCATCCTTAGCACTTTTGACCTTCCTTCTTGGTGAAGTTTTATTGCTGGCAGATTGCACCTCCTGCAACATCGGTCTATGATTCACGGCGTCCAACAATTTTTCCAATGTCTTGCCTGTAATAGTCTGTTTTTTGTCCCCAAACTCCAAATGAAGCAGGTGCATTATGTTGAATTTAAATGGCGTATTGTTTATAGTCGTCATAAAGATGGCGGTAAGTATGGCGCAGAATATCAGCATTGCAGGAAAAATGATTATGTTCCATGGAAATGGTAAATTCTCTGAAATAAATCGTTACTTGTAAGCCAACTTTAGATTCGCTATTGAAAGGAAAATACATAAAACTTTCATACATATTTCCATACCATATTCTTGGTGGACAAATTTATATCATATTTAAATTGATTCACTCGATTTATATATCTACAGGTATAGATGAAACTTTTAAATATCACAATCTAACAACATTGAACAAAATCCCTTCATACCATTTCTGTAAAGATCTATTTATATTTAAATTTGATATACAAATTTAAAAATGTAACCATACCTGGTATATTTTCATTTGTTTTATTTTAGTTTTTATTCATTTTATTTTTTTATCTAAAATAATATCCAAAAAACGCCCATTTTTTACTTTTGCAGGAAGTTGCGCTTTTTCTTCCACAATTTTTAATAAACGAAAAAAAATTTGCAGTATGCCAAGTCAAGGAGAGGGAAATGACATTGTGTTATTACCTTTCGAATAAAAAAATTGTTAACATAATCTTCAACAAAAGGACCCCGCACAAACCTTATGGGAAATTCCGTTCGGTCGATTTTAATGAAATTTTGGGAATAGATTGTTTTTGTTATGAGGAGCAAAAGTCTTCGTGGGCCCAAAGTTCGCTAATGGACAGTTTTCGAGATATTCGATGTTAAAAATTGATAATGCGAATGCGTGTCAAGCACGTATTTAAATGCTTATTAGTCGCGCAAAAGCTCCATGAAGCTTCTTAAAAACTGTATAATATGTATATATTTGTCTAGATAGTGTGTATCCATTCGTTTGTGTGTGCGTGAGCGTGCGCGTGCGTGTGCGTGTGCGCGTGCGTGCGTGCGTGTATGTGTATTCTTTTCATAAACAAATAAACGAAGAGGCTCGGAGTAATGCTATAGTAATACTTCTATATTCACGTGCAATCTGGTCAGCACACTTAGCCATTCTTCTCAATCAATAATATATTTCATTTGAGTTATTAGCATATGATCGTATCTAAAGTAACTCCAGAGTAACACCCAAGATAGAGTAGTCGAAACAACTTTAGGATACAGTTTCTCGTGTGTTTTTAAATCAGTATTTCAAAATATATATCGAAAAATAGCGTGTTTTTAAATATACCTATTTATTCTGTTAGAAAAAAATATTCTTCTTTATTTAACATCGTAGTTTAGATATCCAACTGTGAGTAATCTATCGATATCGATAGCAGATAATATTTTATGTGAAGATATTAGATATATTATACTATTATTAAAATACTTCTTAATCGATATTACTGTTCAATTACCATTCACTTGCAGTTTTTGGTGTGTTATACTACCGATATTGCTTTGGTCATTTTTTCACAGGTGTGTTAATTTTTTAATTAGCAGTTGAGCTTGTTGCAATATAAATGGCTTTCAGACTACAAATACAATGTCATAGTTGCAATCGGACTTTCGCCCCGCGACATATGGTACATTTAAATAGAGTGGTAATGGTAAATGTAGATGTTTTTGGAGATATTGCTATAAATCGACAAAATGACACAGGTCTGCATCCAGCAATTGTTACACCCAAGACCTGAATATGTAATAATTGCTTCCAAACTATTCGTCGTGAACTTGAAATAGTAGATAGAGCAATTATTACATATTCGACTCTCAGGTGTAACTATTGCTGTAGGGAGACCTGCGACGTATTGTCGATTTATAGCAATATCTCCAAAAACATCTACATTTACCACTCTATTTAAATGTACCATATCCTGATCGCAACTGTAACGTTGTATTTGTAATCTGAAAGCCATTTATATTGCAACAAGCTGAACTGCTAATTATAAAATGAACACACCTATGAAAAAATGACCAAAGCAATATCGGGAGTATAACACCAAAAACTGCAAGTGAATGGTATTTGAACAGTAACATCAATTAAGAACTATTTGACAATAAGTCCAACGAAACTGATATTTTTCAACATTTATAAATATTTGAGGTACTCATAAATAATAGTATATTTCTAATATCTTCACATTAAAATATTCTCTGCTATCGATATCGATAGATTACTCACAGTTGGATATCTAAACTACGATGTTAAATAAAGAAGAATTTTTTTTTCTAATAGAATAAGTATATTTAAAACATCCTATTTTTCGATATATATTTTGAAATACTGATTTAAAAACACGCGAGAAACTGTATCCCAAAGTTGTTTCGACTACCTACTCTACCACACATACGCACACACACGCACACACTCACACAAACGAATGGATACGCACTATCTAGACGAATATATACCTATTATACAGTTTTTAAGCTTCATGGAGCTTTTACGTGACTAATAAGCACTTAAACACGTGCTTGAGACGCATTCGCATTATCAACTTTTAACATCGAATATCTCCGAAACTGTCCATTAGCGAACTTTGGGCCAATGAAGACTTTTGTTCCTCATAATAAAAACAACCTATTCTCAAAATTTCATTAAAATTGATCGAACGGAGTTTCCCATAAGGTTTGTGGTCCTTTCCACCTAAAGAAGAATGTAGCCGCCTTGAGATTTACAATTTTAAGGAAGCTATAGTTTCAAATAACAACTGATTTATTTCATTCATTTACGGTTAACACCATTTACACACCTGAGGCCGGGCCTCATTGTAAAACTTGGCTCTCACACCGTATATTTAGAATCTTTAAGAATCTTATGTATTCTAGCTAATAATAATAAAATGCCTTATGCCATATCTATTTGTCTTTATTCCATATCATTTTTCTAGCAAGAGAGTAAAAACTATATGTATAGATGACTATATAGTTCACCACAGATTATTGATTAATATNATATCTCCGAAACTGTCCATTAGCGAACTTTGGGCCAATGAAGACTTTTGTTCCTCATAACAAAAACAACCTATTCTCAAAATTTCATTAAAATTGATCGAACGGAGTTTCCCATAAGGTTTGTGGTCCTTTCCACCTAAAGAAGAATGTAGCCGCCTTGAGATTTACAATTTTAAGGAAGCTATAGTTTCAAATAACAACTGATTTATTTCATTCATTTACGGTTAACACCATTTACACACCTGAGGCCGGGCCTCATTGTAAAACTTGGCTCTCACACCGTATATTTAGAATCTTTAAGAATCTTATGTATTCTAGCTAATAATAATAAAATGCCTTATGCCATATCTATTTGTCTTTATTCCATATCATTTTTCTAGCAAGAGAGTAAAAACTATATGTATAGATGACTATATAGTTCACCACAGATTATTGATTAATATGTAGTTCATGGTGAACTAGTTCGGCTCATTTAAACTAGTACATTACCAACTGCACACCTCTAAGGACCGGTTTATTAATTGCCAATTAGTTTAACTGATGATTACGATCTACTTACCCCATAATTCTGAGGCAAAATTCCCCATCCCTGTTCCTACAGCAGATAATGGTATAATTATTACACTTTTCACTTGACTCAAACCAACCTCAAGAAGAGACACAACTTTTTTTTCACAATCTTCATGACCTAAAGTATTTTCATTATTTAGTTTGGGAAAGTCACTGTCAGTCTAAATCAAGAAAAAATGTTTATTTGAAAATTACTTACTTGTCAAAAATTTAAAATATTCAGTCCAAGTCATTTTGGTGGTGTCACATTTCAAAGAATATTTCAAATTCATGTTGTGTTCTTCGGCATCCTGTAACGAATCAATAAATAAAGTTGATATTAAAATGGATTTCTGGTTAAACCTGAGATAGTTGTTGATACCTCTGTACAAAATCAATCATGACAACCATCAATACAAAGTAACGGAAGGCGAGCCATACGGAAAAATTTGATTTAAACAAGTTGTAAGCAATATAAGGAAAGCAGAAACTGAGAGCCAATAGTGGTAAACAATTTGGACTGGAAATCAATTGGTAAATTTGTTCTTCTGCAGATGAAAACGTACTAGAAATGATATCCAAATAGCTTCGTTCCAAGCTCTTGCTTAAAATACCATCCAACTTTCTAAGATCTTCGATCTTTTCATCCTGCACAGTAGTGAAACGTTTTAAAAAATTTAAATCATCATGATTAATACTGAAATGTATATGTCCTCGGTATTCTAACGAATCACCCTTTTTTATGTTAGCAGAATTTAATAGCAAATTAATGACTCGTTTTAGATATATCAAAGAATTATTTTCTTCAATATTTACATTGCAGTCCTCTCTTCTATTAGTTAAACCTCCTGTACTTGATGACCTCTTCAAATACTTTTTTGCATTTGTATTCATATCGTGAGGATCAACCCATTGCCGTGATAAAACTTGAGACAGGATACAGAGTAAAAAAACAATCAATATTTTCATCTTAAAAATACTTTTTGACTGAAAAATGGTTTCAGTTAATAAAACAGGTAATAATTATATCTAACTAAAAATAACAATCTTACGTATTTTTGGCAGCAGTTACATTATTAATTAAACATAACTTTCTACCACTGATGTGTAAATAATAAACCTTTGTTTTCAGAGAACTTTGTGAAGAATTATTTTATCTGTTTTAAATTGTGTTTATCACTTTATCATAACCTATAATTGTCTTATTAAATAATATGTGGATTATCATTTGAAATGGTCTGGGTCTGCCTGATTTGAAAAATCGAATCAGTTAAATTCAGCTAGGTTCACTAGGTTGGGTCCGGTTGGGATCGTGAAGAATGATCTGGATGATCTACTTTATTTTCTGTTTTTATACTTAGGCGTATTTCATTGCACATCAAAATTTAATATTCAGATGGTTAATAAAGAATAATGTTAAAAAACAATTAATAAAAAACTTCAATAACATCAAGAGTGGGACAAATTAAATATCCTAACCTAACAAGAACAAGTATTTCAAATGTCAATATTTGTGAAGGCTGAAATAGTCTGTGGGCTGTGAACGCAATAATTTCAATTTCCAATACGAGGGGGCCATTAATTTGAAGATGAAGAAGAAGAATTTTAAATTTAACTTGTACAATATTGTATAGAGGCACAATGGCTAAATACCCTCTGAGTGAAGGCCAAATAAAAAGAAGAAGAAGAAGTAGTAGTATAGAGGCACAGGCACCATCTTTCAGTGAGAACTAATACTAATTAGTGAACGAAAGATGCTAACTGCAATTGGAAACAGGGACACCGGTTGGTTAGAAAAAGAAAACAAAAAAGCATCAAAATGGCTGCACGATCGGTTAGTGCAACAATTTAATAAACCCAGTTCGGTTATAAAACTATTATTTTGTTATAAAAATTCGGTGAAGTAGTGAATTTTAATACAAGTTTTATTAATGATATTTGCTGCGTCAAGTTATGTACACGTTTTTTTTTAAAGTCATAGAATCTCTGTGTCAATGCACTTTTATGTGAAAGTGTACACTCTGGTCTTCAACTACACAAAAGGTAAATAATTTAAATACCAATAGACGAAATAATTAAGCTAAGCATTCGTTTTCTAAGCATGTATTTTAATTGATTAATTTACGTTTATTATGTTATTTATGCTACAGTTTTACTGATTATGAGCTATAAAAACAGTAAAAATGTAAGTACCATACATAGGTATATTTAAATTTGAAACTATAAAATCAATAGGTACATTTTTTATGTATGTTTCCAATAATAGTTTTATTAATATTGAAGAGCTTATATAAAATATAAATAATAAGAAATGTTTATTTGGGATGGAAACGAAATAAGGGATGATCTTAAATAAGTGCAAGCCTTGCGTAACATGTGGTAGGGTGTCATCTACCCCCAATTAGTGAGAAAGGTGAGTCATCACACCACTCACCAGCAAAACAAAAGAAGCCCATGAAAATTCACCCTCTCGGTCTTTTATTTTCAAGTTTTCAGGTGACGTTCGATATCGCGACGCGGCAGAAAAATCGTGTAGCAAAAAACAAAAGGCCCTTCAGGGGCTTCTTTGTGTCAGTATGAATAGGAATAGGGCCCTCTTCGCCTTAACTTAGAAAATGTGAAGTACTCGACATCCACCTTGTCTATCGCGCCGCTTTCAGTCTTTCTGACGGTGAACGTGCTTTAATTCGTTTCAGCGTTTTCAGCGTGTTCAGGGGGATTATCGCGCCGTTGTGTACACGAAAGAGATTTAGCAGTGTTTGGTGGATTTACTTAACAGTGGTGTTATTCCATTTCAGTAGACTTTCATGTGTCCAATGAGGGGGTATTATTAGGCAGGTAGTTTTTTTATTGCACTTAGTACCTAACAACCGTTTTTAGTTTACCCTAGGTTATGACCGGTGAATGAAAATGATGGATTATTTTTGCTATGCATTGAAAAACCACTTATAAATATTTGTTTGTAGTGTTTGTAGCCACAAATTAACAAAACATAAGTATTATTAAGTACCTAAGTACTTATACCTATTGCCAACAAGTTATTGCTATGTAAATATTCATAAGGTTATATTTATATTTAGTTAGAATGTCAATGTTTTCGATATTAATTATTGCTTATATAATAACTTTTCAAGTGATATAGGTACCTAACAGTAATAACCAGATTAACAATCTTTGGAGATTGAAGTAGTATTTTTAGTAAAAATGTCTGATAAGGAAAAAACTTGCGTCTAGTATTACTTGTATGGTTTTATTTTGATATTTTGCCATACTAAAAATTAAAAATTAAATCACTTTGTGCTTTTATTGTGATAGTACTATTTAAAATCCATTCTTAATCTAACAAATGTATGTATAGGTACTTGTCGAATTTTCCGCATAGAAAAATCGTTGGGGAAACTATTTCGTACCCCTCTGTTTGACGGCATAGGTGATATTTATTGGTAGGACCTTTCCGCCACAGGTCACATAAGGGCTATACCTGTCAAAATTTAATAAAGCTTTTCAATATTGACCAAACATGTCACATCAAAGCACATATTCACTACGATACAATGCGATGCAGTTTTAATATACACGCTTGATTTATCGACCACCTAAATAATTTACTTTGCTAGGTCGATAGCGTCCTATTTTTTTGTACTGGCAGTAGGGTGAGCTTGGAAATGGGCCACATGTTTCACTAACTGACAAAGCCACAATCTGATTTGAATGAAAATTGATGCAGATATTTCCCGTTCCTCTAATAACGTCCGTTTTTTCATAGGGTAAATTTAACTGTCAGTGATATGTATCTCTCACTTTCTTATATATCGAGCGTTCAAATAAAAACGTGGTAGAAGTTGGCTCTGACACATTTGACGTAGGGAGAAGCTTATAGCGACCAACTTAACCTCATTTCTCAACGAGCTGTACAGCAGCTGTCAGTTTCAATAACGTTAATGACTATATAACTTTATTTTAAAGAATAATCGTGATAACAATAACAAACAATTAAAGGAGCTGCGGAAAGTGTCCCCCTCCTTGTTATAACAATAAATTAAAGCAGCTGCTGAAAGTGTCCCCCTCCTTGTTCCAAGCACTTTTCACACCTGTTCCTCAAAGAATTAAAGACATTTTCTAAGATGCTCGGGGTATTGTTAATTTCACGAATCTTGTCTATAAGTCGAGCCTGCAGATGGTTTAAATCAGGAATAGGCAGTTCAAAAATAGTGTTTTTAAGGTAAGGCCACAAAAAGAAATCACACGGCGTAATATCACATGACCTCGGTGGAAATTCATGTTCAGCATTGAGACTTATTAGTCGATTTTGGAAAACTTCCCTCAACATATTCATCGTCTCGCCTGCCGTATGTGCCCTTGCGCCATCTTGTTGAAAGTAAAAGTTTGTAATTTCGTTTTCTTCCAGCTGGTTAACAAAAGGAGCGATAATTTCTTCTCTATACCTTTGCGCAGTAAGAGTACCATTAAAAAAAATAGGTCCATAAATCCTCCTTCGATTGAGAGCACACCAAACTCCAATTTTTTGAGCGTGTAGAGGGCCCTCGACAAAAAAGTTATCTGGTTTTTCAGAAGACCACATTCTCATATTCTGTGAGTTTACGTAACCACTTAAATGAAACCAGGCTTCATCAGAAAAAAAGGTGATATTATGAAGTTCACCGTAGTTGTTTAAAAACCATTCACAAAATACAGCCCGTCGCGGAAAATCAACTTCATGAAGTTCTTGCTGACAAGTTAAACGATAGGAGAACAAACGCAAATCTTTTTTTAACACTGTGTGGCAGGTACCGACTGATACTCCCACCATTTGTGATAAAACACGTACAGAAGTTCTTGGCGCATTTTCCATTATTTGTTGGACATTTTCTTTTAATTCTTCAGTCCGCTTTTTAGGTCGGCCGCTTCCTTCTTTTCTTGTTACACTGCCCGTTTCACGAAAAACATTAACACAACGCTGAACTGCACTTTGAAAAATTTTGTACTCAACAACGCCGGGAAATTGATTTTGAAATTCTATGAAACATTCCTCAATAGAATACTTCCATATTCCATCAATCTTGCGTCCATTTCTAAAGTAGGACTCTATGATAAACACTTTTTGTTCTTGAGAAAACACCATTTTAAACGCTTTTTAAAACGAAAATATTCAAATTGATAGCGGCGATATAGCGCTTTGACAGATGACGTTTAAGTTCATTTGCTATACGCTACGCCCTACGTCCAAATTTTCAGAACCAACTTGACCACGTTTTTATTTGAACGCTCGTTACTTATTTGTGTTTTATGAGGCAGGTATAGATTTAACTGGCAGATAAATTCATCAGGAGGCGAAAAAACCCGCAGAAACATTAACTAAGACACTAAAGTGCAGTAAAATGTCGTTTTAAGTATTAAAATTATGTTAGTTTTTACGAATTTGCAACTTCTAGTGCCTAATTTATGTGCTACACTTTTGAATAGCAAAATTTCTTAAAATTATACTACTGTCACATTTGACAAACCGCATAGCAATGTATTTCGAAGGGCTAATGATTTACTATTAGCAAAATTCCTTAAAATTGTTATTAAACCACATTCCAGATCACATTAGACCAGAGGCGGACTGGCTAGATGAACCGGCCCGGGAAACCTTCATCAAGCGGCTCCTTTTTTTGAAAGAAAAATATTATTCATCCTTCTACAGCGCGGACCGGCCCAAAATGACCGCGGCCCATCGGGAAACCTCCCGAGTTCCCGCATAGCCAATCCGCCTCTGCATTAGACCAACTAAAATCTTATTATAGACTACTTAGTAACTTTTTACCACACTTTTGAAACGTAAAACAATTTAGTCAATTTTGTTATACTTAGTTATAGTCATAAAAGCAAGATACCTTTTTTCATCTACCTTAAAATTCGGGCTCTTTTTAAATACGTGTTTATTTTAATACGAAGTGTTATTATCGGAGATTCATTGCATTTAAAATTATATCAGGGTTTCACGATCAACTTTACTTGTTTCTTACTGCGAGCAGGTAGTAAACATCAACCATTTGGCTTATTAATTAACATTCCGGCATTTTAATCCAGAAGCGATACCAAATGGAATGCCCAGAACATAAATTCTCAAAGCTAACTGTTGAATTTTAATTTATCGATCGACAAAAAAATATTCGAATCGAATTTACTCCTAAACATTCGTTCATACATAATTTAAATTATTTTCCGCCCGCTCCTCATAATTTTTTAAACCGTCGCATCGTGAATAAGTCTCACAAACAAATGAAATGACATCAGTCGCACAACCTTGTCGCTTGCGGCATACGAAATCAGTTAGGCCTGTTTGAAAATTCCATTGCATAATGTATATAACTTTTCAGATACGGGGGTGTTTTGATAAGTAGATACTGGCCACCAACTTTCAGTAAACAAATTCTGAATTATGTGAAACAAAAAAGACGTCCATTTGTCTCAACCACACAACGTATATACTTAACAGCGACTGCTTTTAAGTACACTCCGTTTAAGGTCTAGTTTTTTATTTCTCTCCTACGTAGTTTTTTTGAGTAAGTTTTAAAAACGTTTTAAAAGCTTTACAGATAAGAAATCTTACGGGAGCTACTTTTTGACGCACTTGCCTTATACTGCTAATTGAATACGTAATTCTAAATCACTTACTTTAATGATTAAGCTTCCCGTCCAGGAAAAATGTATTTGCATACACGATACGATCTGTATTCGTAACGCTGAAACATTCACCTTTACCCTTGGCACCGTGGTTTGTTAACACGTAACAATTAAATTGCATGTACGGATATGACTGTGGGATAGATGATAGATTTGTGAACGTTGAACTAAATTTTTATGTAGTACAAATAATGCCTTTTGAACGTATGTTTTTGAAAATTAAATTATTTTATCCAACACTTGTATACGACTTGTATACATGTATAATGATACTATAATTTCTTTGGTTTTAAAGAAATAATATGGCCTTAAGTGTGTTATAAGTGATAAATCACTAGTAATTTATGACTACTGACTTATGTAAATCATAAAAA